GTGATACACACAATAAAACTCAAGTCCATTCTTCTTAGCATAGAACAAATTATTAACAGATATATAGACACGCATATGAACAATCGCATACAAACACAAACCCTCTCTCTCATTCTCTCTTTCTCTCTCTCTCTCTCTTTCTCTTAGTCTTTTTTCTCTCCTACTGTTTCATTTTTTTCTCTTTCTCATTTCTTCTTTTTCATTTTCTTTCTTTCGTTTCTTTTTTTCACTTTGTCTTGCTGTCGTACGCTGATTTTTTCACTCAATCTTTTTCTTTCTCTTCCTTTTTTACTCTTTTTCTTACTTTCCCCCTCCTCTCTCTCTCTCTCTCTCTCTCTCTTTCTCTCCATCCTTATTCATCAATTTTCATTTGCTGCAAATGTGACATTAGGTAAAAAATCATCAAAAAAAAACAAAATAATATTAACAACAACTACGACGATGACGATGATAATAATAATAACAACAATAACAATAATAATAATAACATTAACATAAACAACAATGTAAGCCCTAACGAGAAGAATCTGTCAGCATAAACATCTACATTTGCACTTCATCGACAACAACAACAACAACAACCGAAACAACAACCGAAACAACAACAACAACAATACAGACCAAATAATATCGTAGGTGCACAAAATATAACAATTTTTGTAATTGTAGATGCTGTTCTAGATAGCTATAGCAACTACTTCAACAGCGAAAATAAAAATAAAACAATAATAATAAGGTAATAATAATAAGGAGAAGAAGAAGAAGAGGAGGAAGAAAAAGAAAAATTAGAAAAAGAAGAAGAAGAAGACGAAGAAGAAGAGAATGAAGAAGAAGAAGAAAAAGAAGAAAAGGAAGAAGAAGAAGAGGAAGAAAAATTGTAATAAGAATAATAACAATAACAAAAACGTAACAACAAAAAATGGCCAAGAAGCATAAATTAATTTAGAACAATTTAACGAATTTGCTGAACATTTTGTAAGGCATCAACAACAACAACAACAAAATCAAAATAATATTAATAATATTATTACTATCAGTAATAGTAGTAGTAGAAGTAGCGATAGAGATAGTAGTAGTAGTCGTAGTAGTAGTATAAGTAGTAGTAGTAGTAGTAGTAGTAAAGAAAACTTCAGCATCAACCACAACGTCAAAATCAGTAATGTAGACAAAGAGCATTAAGTATAATAAATCATCCTCACAATCAACAACCTCATCAACAACAAAAATATTATTATTTTTATTATTTTTTTTGTCAACAAAAACAAATGGCCAACATGTGACCAGAAAATTTATTTCAAAATTTGCATGGGATAAATTAAAAACAATGGTTTGTTTACACGTATACATACATACATACATACATACATACATACATACATACATACATACATACATACATACATACATACATACATACATACATACATACATACATACATACACACACACACACACACACATACATACATACATACATACATACATCATGTTTTGGTTTTAACATACATACATACATACATACACACACACATACACACACACACACACACACACACACACACATACATACATACATACATACATATATATATACATACATACATATATATACATACATTCATTCATACATACATATATTCACCGAAACACACACACACACGGTTAAATTTGATCCGAGCAAAATTTAATAATGACTTTCACTGTTATTAAAGTTTGAAATATTTCAAATAAATTTGGCCTTTGTTGCTAGTATTATTGTTATTGTTGTTGTTGTTATTGATGTTGATGTTTTCGGTGTTACTGACGCCATCAATGACGTCATCTTTGTTGTTGTTGTTG